CCCATGGATTGTACTGCAACATAGTGTAACTAGGGATAAAAAAAAAAAAAGAATAATTGAGTATTTCCCAATCCAATTTAATATGGGTAAAATCAAACTCGTAATTCTAGTTTTGGATTGCACATGTACCCAACTTTTTAGTTTGGGTCTAAATTGGACTCATAATATTGGAAGTAAAAATAATGGATATGGGTACTTGTTTATAACTCAATTTTGGTCCTACTTTTGTTACGAAAAGAATAAAATTGCGGAAACGTGTATAATTGGGTTGAAGTTAGTTAATGAAATTGTTAATATCGTTTTTTGTGTACACAATCATCTAAACTCATTTGGGTCTAACCCCGATTAATTGACCCAAATAGAACCTAATTCAGACCTTACACAAACCCAAAACTATCAAAAATGCATATGAATAGGTTCGCCCAATTCTCATATAGATTATTGACAATTGGATCAAATTACCTAATGAGTTTACTGCCTGTCTAAATGTAGCCCACGTTACGTATATATGTTGAGCCCATGTATCCGATGATCGAGGGTTAACGCATGGCTCGTGTATATGCTGTAAGTGGTGTAGCTGGAGGTTAAGCTGTGAACAATACAAATACAAAGAATCCCTCTCATGCAGAGCTTGATTGAACCACAGAAATCACTATGTATCGTTTCTCTCATCCTAAAGTAGCTACGCTACGTGTAGGTATAAATAAAAGTGAACCAGTAGGTACTAGATAGAAAGTTTCCTAGAACAACATGGTACGTATTTGTCTACCTAGTCCGATGACAGTACAAGGATAATATATACCGCACGCCTTTTGGGAAAAGACAGACAGACATGTCTCTAAGTCTAAACTCAGGCATCCATCCCAGGAAGAGGATAGAATATATAATAATTGAGTTGAACTTGGGACTACTTTTCCATCGCAATGATAATGTTGTTTATTAATTATCCGATGAGGGAAAAGCATGCCAGTCAGAGGAGCCTGTGAAATTGAAGGGTAGGGGATGATGATGGGGCTGTTGTGTTCCCGGGATGTGAACCGCTCCAAAAGCAATCTCAAGAAATTTAATCATCATGCTTCATCACATGGCTGGGCTTTTTATTGTTGATATATGTCAAAAGTCCAGTTTCATTTAACTATGATCTGGGATCATTTGATAAAAATAGTTTATATAAATCTGTGACATCTATATCTCGTCGATTAATTAAATATTCATTTGACGATAGATAATAATAATTATTATTATATAATTAAAAGTTCAAGCAATATTACTGTTCCATCAGTTATCAATTCTCTGTGAGTTCTGTTCCCAACCGTTTCTATTCACAATACCCAATTTCATCATAAGTTCTTTTTTTTATTTGCATTACAACATGGGTTTTGCACGATCAATTATTTTTATATATTTTATCCCATACACTCAATTAAATGTGATATCTGCCGTAACTTAATAAATACATTATAAAAGATTTACGTAACAATATATGTTAATAGTTAGTTATGAGAAGATGTAGTAATGTTAGTTAATATTTACATGACCGTTTAATCAAATATAATACTTTCCATAACTTAAGTTTATTATTAGAACGCATATTATGAAAGATTTACGTTACCGCGTTCATTAACAATTACGTAAAGTTTACTTTTTACATGACAACTTAATTACATGTGACATTTTCGATAACTAGTTAATTTTTATATTAGAACACATATTTGTGAACAGTTACGTCACAAAATATTTCATAATGTTAGTTAATTTTTACATGACAATTCAATTAAATGTGATACTTTCTATAACTTAATTTTATTATTACTACGTATTATGGAAGAATTAAGTAACAAAGTTTGTAAACAATTACCTAAAGTTAACTTTTTACATGATAGCTTAATCAAATGTGATACTATTTATAGATTAATTTTATTATTAGACCATACAATATGTAAGATTGACGTAAGAATGTTGATTAACAATTACGTAAATTACATATATATTACCTTAACTTATGTAAGGATAGATATTTCTTATGTATCAAGTGAACTAATTAACTTATAGTGTAATTCATATGTAACGATTCAGACACTATGTAAAGCTTATGGTGATATCTTACTCAAATTTTATAAATTACTTGATTTCAACTAAATCATTAAATAAGTGAATGAAATTTTAAACTAGTAAAAATCTTGACACGGCAGATCCAGGGGGTGGCCATCCCGGGCTACGGCCTAGCCCTCCTATAGATCCAGAGCTAATATAGCCTTTATGAGTTTATGGATTTTAGTCATTGGGTCTAGTATTGTTTTATAATAAAATGATATTTTAATTAGAAAAATAGGTCAGATGAACATATTCAAATCACAACTCTAAATTTAGCCTAGAAATTCTAACTCCAATGATTCTCCTCTAAAGAAAAACAAACAATGAAACCTTTCTAAAAGTCTAAACCATAAAAGTCTAAAAGAAATATGATGTTTGTTCACTTGAAAAATGACTAGAGCAAGTTTGATGAAAATAGGGATGGACTCACAATATAAATTGATTAGTCAATTGATTTGCCTAGTTTGACATTGCTAGTTTCAACAACTACTATGGAGATAACCTTTTTAGTAATGGAACAGGTGAAAAAGAATTTACCCAACAAAATGAGCGATGAAATTCTCACCGATTGGTTACTATTTTATTTGAAAGAGAGTAGTATGCTATTGGTATGGATGTAGACTCCATTACTGATGAATTCGCTATATTAAAAGATAGACGTGTAGAATTGATATTGTAAAAAAAAAACTATGACATTTTTTAAGGTATCTAATTTTCTAACAAAATGCAGCTCAGTGCTCTACTATGTTTTGGATCCGCCGCTAGCTGGTGTCAAGTAAATAATATGATGATATCTCTTGTGAACGGATTTGTTACCTACAATTCTTGACTCTTGATCAGCAGGAGAGATATATCTCCTCTAGCTCTCCCTAGGTAGCTAACTTGCCCATCAACCTAATTTCTTGGGTCTCATTCCAAAAGAAATTAGCAAGCTACAACATGTATGTAGGTATAACTCGATGGCTATGATGGTAAACAGTAGCACGCCCCACTCATTATGTCTGGTTATTTAGGCAGCAAGAAAACATCAGCGCGCGCCAAACATTTTCACATTGCTTAAAAGCTAGCTAGGGACTTTGATCATACTCTTCTATGCATGCCGGCCTCTTATATATTGCCTTCACATTCAACCCCCAAAACTTACAAACCAAGTGGCCGGCCGATCGTTCCACTCCCATATACCAGTCGATCGGCCGTCTCTATCATTATTGTTGCTTCTCCTTTGCTCCGATCATCAACATGATCATTACGAGAGCGTCCTAAAACACTTATCTTTCTTTGTCCGGCACACATTTGTGCATATATAGAATAGATGCCCCCATATGGTCCATCGCTATGGTTTATTCAAACTCAAACTCAAACCTCTTCTTCTTCTTCTTCTTCTTCTTCTTCTTCTTCTATGCCATCCGCATGGTAGCCTTAGCCTGTCTCCACCTCATGTCCATCAGAATGGTAAGCGAAGTAACAAGTAAATGATGATACTGCCGATATGTTAGTTAAGAATCTTTCTTCGCGTAGCTCTAATGTACCTGTTCCTTCTCGTTGTCTGAAAAATGATGAAGGGAATCGGAATGGAATGTTGGATGAGGCATTGATAGTTCTGCTACTTGTGCATGCATGTCTCAGCTGCTCGGTTCATGATTTGAAGTTTTGATTGACAGAAATAATTTAGCTGTGTGTTCTTCTTCTTCTTAAACTGCTTCAACCAAACAGCCTAGCAAACTCATATGCTCCAAAATTAAGATAACAAACTAATGAATCGTCATGTAGGATCAATCCAATATTAGAATTCGTATTGACCGATAAAGTTTTGCGCTCCACATTAAAACTACTAATTTGTTTTTACTTCATCTGAATGATTACATATAAGAGTTATCTGCTATATGACCTGCATTTGACTAGGCCAAAATAGGTTGGCTACTTAGGTTGCTTAAGCTATAGAGTATATAATTGAACGTTTTATAATAACTCGAGTTATTATGATTCTTTACGTGACTGAAGGTAAATTGTTTAGGAGTAAATTATTTTGAATTGTCCCCATCCACTAATACTTGGAGTGGCTTTATTTTGATACTTTGTTTCGAGTATCAGTGAAGCAAAGTACGTATGTTAACTTAGAAGAGAAACTAAGCTATATATGACAAGTAAACGGAAGTTCCTTCTTCTTCTTTGCCCTTTTTGTTGTTTTCAGCATTCAGTTTTGTAACGTGGAGGATCTTACTACGTCTCTGTGTCATGGACAAGCATGCTGGTCCATCACTTATATGCTCCATAGAATTCCATGTGATCAACAATCAGTCACCTTCTTTATGCTTTAGTGACAATGAGATGGAATATGTAACAAATAACAATATCATACATACAAGGATAGGGTTATGATAAAAATAAGTGGCTTCCTTAAATGGACCTTCAATTAAGATTTGAAGGAACAAATTACGCATAAAGTACATAGATGTTACATCCAACATCATCAGTACAACAATAGTTACTAAATACAGTATGTCTCTTCTTGATAAATAATATAGAAACTCATATCAATCTTAAAATATACTACCTCCTCATACGATTAGTAGGTTTGGCCCCCTTCTTAGTCCTTAATTACCAAGTAGCTACATAAGTATATACTTTAGTTGATAACATTAATGCATCAATACTAAATCGCACACTCTATATGTCCAAATCATATAAGTAGCCATTGCTTAGTATATAGCTTGCTTTTGCTTCCCTCCCCTTTATGTACAGGCAGAACTTGGCATAAGATCAAGAGGTCGACCTCTCTTCCTTGCATAGATATATGTCTCTTATGCTTACCCCTATTGGTTTGTAGTAATATTAGTATGCATCCATCTGGTTGGTCCAGTCTTCTGGTAATGTATATACTATTTTTGTGGTTTCATAGTACATGATCACTTCCAAAGATCAATATCGCTGCCAGAGGTTAATGTCGACGCATACTCCTGCAGTATTTCTGAACTCTTGGAGTCATCAATGGCAGTTACCTTCATATGTTGCTCACCATCTGCATGAAAGGAGGATGAAGATGCAGGGGTATTTGAGTTGTCGTTGTTGGCTTCCTTGGAAGCACTAGCAACTTCATGGCTCAGCTGAGATGCAACAAACTTGTCAAGAACTCGCCAATCGGTTGCCACCACTTGCTCTTGCAGATCATTCGTTGTATTGTTGTTGTAAACAGAACTCAAGGTGTGATGCTGTTTGTGACTTTGTTGGATGTGCACTTCCTCATGTTGGAGTAGAGTCCCATTGTTCTTTTCATAGGAGTAGTTTGGAAGCATTGGTGAAGATAAATTGTTGCAATTTGCATTGCTTGGGAGTTTGGGGCTTTCAAGTTGGGGGAGTTGGAGGAATGACTCAAGATTATGATGGTTTTGGTGATGGCTAAGAGAAATGTTGTATTGCAACTGATCCACCTCTTGCTTGCACTGCAAGTAATGTTGATGCTGGTGATGAAGATAAGAGGATGATGGTGATGGATAAGGTTGTTGATGCTGGTGACGAGGAATCTGTCGAGGAGAATCAAGTTCTTGCATGAAGGAAACTTGATCATCATACCAACATGGTGATTCATACTCTCCTATTCGCCTCACTGTAGGTAGTCGCTTCTTGAACACCCTGCAAACAACCCATCCTTCTTCCTGCTTGATGAATGAAATGTAGTTAAATCCAAATAATATTTCACATCAATAGTATGAAAGGGTTATTTATTCACTTTTAAATATATATCCATGAAGCTAGTGACTCTCATTTAGTAAGAAATGACTCATTAGCACAATAATGCTCCACTATTGTGAGTCATCTCACATTAATTGTCAAAGAAGTCAAATGTTAGCATATAATTTCATTGGTATGAAAGAAATTCTTGTATAGGCTACCTGCTCGCTTTGAGTGAAATTTTTTGAGTAACATTATCCAATGAGATTAATGTTAGGATTGTATGAACAAAGTGAAAGTCTTTTTGATTTTCAAGATATCCATAAGAGTATGCAAAGATGATTACTTCACTTGCCTGAGTAGCTCCATTCTCATTTGTTTCGAGTCGATATTCATGCATGATCCAGTCTGATTTCTGTCCATTCGGAGCTCTTCCTTTGTAGAATACCAGAGTCTTTCTCATTCCAACCAAGCTATGCCTACAATATATGGCCTTGTCCCTTCCCGTGGCTTTCCAAAACCCAGCTTTCGTAGCTCGGTTGGTCCGAGTACCAGTTGGGTATTTCTTGTCCTTGTGGCTAAAGAAGTACCAGTCGTTTTGTTCTTCTGTTCCGATCTTGCATAACTCTAGTGTCAAATAAAACACAGACAAAAAAATTATAAATATCGTTACTAATTGTGTGTTTTCCTAATGCCATCAGGATTAGTAAATTCTTTTGTGTTTGGTACCTTGGAGATCCCATGGCTCAATCTTGTAAAGATCAACATCTTTGATGACATCTAGATCAATCCGCTTGGAAGCAACCTTTTTCCTTAGATAGTAATCAACAAGTTCTTCATCTGTTGGGTGGAACCTAAAGCCCGGAGGAACGTGCGAGAAGGTATTCATTTCAAAGCTCTCAATTGTCCTGTGCACAAATCGAAAGATCAAAGAAGAAGCACATGAGACACAAGTATTGAAGAATATGTACATCATAGAGGAACTATTGGATGATCATTAAGATTAAGAGTACTAATGTGGAGAAGATTAGAAGAAGCATGTTTATGATGTTTCACAATTTAACAACAAAGCAGTAATAATGAATTACATGCATGCTCCATGTTTATGTGGTTGAAATTACATGCCAACATAAAGGCATCCTATAATTTAATGGTAGAAAATGGCATGCTTCACAATATTTTTGCACAAGAATCAATTGATGTTAGATATTAATCCCATATTTCACATTATAATTGTATCATAGTGTTTTCACGACGAACTACTTAACACTATTATCCTAGAATTTCCTAACCATGTTGTTAAAGTTAACATTACAAAAACTTAATCAGTAGTAAGAACATCAATGATTCATTCTCCAAAAATAGCATAACAAAATTAGTTTTGTGGTGCTACACTCAAAATTTTTAGTGTAATAATATCAGAGGGAAGAACTAGCCAAAATTTCAGGTCTGGCTTTTACTTTTGTGAAGCAGATATATACATTAGTGTAGAGTACTGCTTATGTCATTGGAAGGATTATTTAAGTATCTTCCACAAAAGAAACAAAATAGAAGGCTTACCCACAAGACAAAACCCACTAACTGGAAGTATTCATCATGCCACACTTAATTACCAAACATCTTCATTACCAACAAAAAAACATAAAAGTATATAACACAAAAAAGAACATGTATGGAACCGGAGCTTGACCATTCTAAGAGTATGGTCTATGAAGAGTTCCATCAGTTCTAGCTAGCTAAAGAAAATGAAGGATAAGCCAAAAAATAAAATAAAAAATTGTTAAATGTGAAAGAAATGCATTTCCAAGTAAACCAAGACAATTATGATCATCTTCCATATTCCTTACACAGGGAAATAAGTTTATGATTAAGTGTCTTGCCTGTTACTTCCAAACTAACTAAGGAGAGGTGAGAAGTAAAGAAAAAAAAAAAAAGAGCTAGAGATGGATCGGCATGCATGATTCCATGAATGAATGTCCAGAAAGTATATTCAGCAACGCAAAATCAAAGGCATGATCCAAACTAAGTCATGACCCAACTCATATACTTATGAAGAATAAACATGGTGAAGAAGAAGAAGTTTTATTGAAGAAGAAGAAGAAGAAGAAGAAGAAGTTTTATTGGTGATGATCATCATGGAAAGACATGAAGCAGAAGAAGATGAGAAGATATACATAGAGCCAACCTTTAATTTTATGATATTTTGGTAGGCGCATCAAGAAGCTTGGATAGCCCAAAACCCAGGAAAAACCACCTTCCTTATTCTAGATCTGGTTCCAGACGATAAGACAAGCCGATGAAAGAGTCGTATTACTGCTATTTCAGGATTATAAGACGGGTATATGATATTCCTTCACTCCTGATCTGTTTGGCCAACTTTCTATCAAGGGGAGCAACCAGAAATGAAGCTCAGAAAAAGCACATATATAAGAATGGAAGAAAGGATGGAAGAAAGACAGATGCCAACTGATGGTGGATGAAGAAGAAGAAAAAGGTAGCAGCTAGCTTGCTGTTCTTCCTTGGGACTTGAACCCTAAACCAGAAAGTGCAAAACTGGAGCTGGCTCCAACTTTCTCTAAAAATTTGTCCCAAAAGAGCAAGGAAGAGAAGGTCAGATCCCGAGGAAAGAAAGAAGACGCGCAGATGGAAAGGGAAAGCAAACAAAAGGAAGGAAGGCTGAGGGGAATGGTGGGGGAGAGAAGAGGTAGGGTTAAATAAGAAGCAAAGCAAAACCCAAAAAAGAAAAATATATATCATATAAAGAAAATCCAAAAGAAAAAAGGAAACCCACACATGCCCTAATTAATATATTGCTCTCCTCTCTCTCTCTCTCTCTCTACTTGTTTATGTTGTGAGTGGGGAGAAGCTTGATTGCTGGAACAGGGCTTTTTCTGTGATGGCATGTAGAATGAATGGATGGATAAATGGGTGATGAAGAAGCTAACCAACTCAACATTGATTACTAATGATTATGATGCTGTGTTGTGTAGTGTATGGTTCTTGAGAGAGAGGGGGGTAGAATGAGAGAAAAGAGGCCTTTCCCGTCCCCTCTACCAGCAACTGATAGAGACTCTATAAGAGCTCAATTCATCATTTACTTCATCACTTTCAGTTTCCATTACACTACATTGTTGGTTTTTGGTTGAGCTGTGGAAGCTAGGGTTAAAAGCTACCAGGGCAATTTTACGGCTTAAGATAGGGTGCATAACTATAATTAATCAAATTTGGAACCTTCTTTTAAATGGGGGGTGGCTATACGGTCCGGTCCGGTTAAATTGGTCCAAATTGATCCGGTCCAGTCCGGTCTTTTTGAAAATATAAGGACCAAAGATTGGATTGGATACAGTCCGGTCTTGATCTGGTCCGGTCTTGACCCGGTCCGGTCCCAATTCGGTCTTGATTTTATATTGAGCTTGTGGGGATTTGAGTGGCCTAGGGCCTGAAAGGGTGAGGAGTTGGTTAAGTTTTCTACTAAGTGCAAAGGTTTGTGACCGTTTATGCAAATTACCCTTAAGTTTTGGGTGTTGAGCTCTCTTATCCGGTCTTTATCCAATTTTTGATCCGGTCCCGAACGGTTTTTACCTAAAATCTAAGCCCAAAGATTGGATTGGATTGGATTGTTTACTATCCGGTCCCGGTCCGGTCTCGGTTTGGGTTATACGGTCCGGTTTCGGGTAAAACCAAAAAGTCCGGACCAAATAGCCAGCCCTAGCTGCAGATCTAAGGGTGAAGAATTAAAGCAATTTATTTTCCCGAGTTTTCTTGATTGGATTATATCTTCTTCATTCTAACTCGGATTTCAAATTTTTTTGCACAGATGGAACGAGTTTGTTGTGCTCTACAAAATGATATCCATTTTCAATATTTTATGAGGAAAAAAAATTTCATACCTCTCGTTTATAACTCCATACCATATGGTATCTCCTTCTTTTTTTAGTCGCTTTCGGAAATTTTTGCAAAGAAAGAACGATTCAATCATGATCTATTGGATTTCAAATTTTTATAGGTGAAAAAATTTCATACCTCTCGTTACCAAATCCATACCATACTATACCACCCTGGTATGGGGTGGTATTTTTCATACCATATGGTATGCTCTTATTTAATACCAGACAATACCATATGGTATGACTGGTAATAACTGCCAAAAAAATTTTGTTCCAAAAAATATCAAAGTCGATATCATTTTGAAGAGCACAATTAATCTGACCTAACTATGCAAAAAAATTCAATTCCGAATTAAAACGAGCGAGAAATCGTCCGTTAAAGATTAAAGGAAGGAAAATTAAAGGTTTTTCGAGGAGAGATAAAGAGGCACTGATGTGGCGGATTTTTATTGGGTTACGCAAGGAGTTATAGCACCACAAGGTTACTCTCCGGATCTGCTCCCCAACTTTACCTCTTTGATGAGTTATTTAATTTGTATGAAAACTATTTTCATGTAATGAAAATGGGTAAATACAATATATTAGCCACAACTATTAAATATCGGAAAATTATAGTTTCAACTATCGAAATACAAATTATTAGTCAAACGTTAACTCTCTGTTAGCAATTCTGTTAGTAAATGCTGACTAAGCTTTAAGATGTTGAGCTGACTCCCACGTGGCAATTATCATACCATATTTCAATTTTAATTTTAAAATTAAAAAAATGAAAGAAAAGAATCTAAAAATTAAAACTCTTCTTCTTCCTCCGCCTAGATGCACTCTCCCTCCCCTACACCAGCTCGTCGCAGGCCGCTCCTCCTCCCTACCGCATCAGCGACTACGAGACTTGGCCTGGCAATACGACCTAGGTATGATGCACCTCAAACTGGAGGAGACATCGAATGTCGTCGTCTCGTCGCCGAAACTCGCCAGAGCGTTCCTGAAGACACACGACCTCAGCTTCGCCACCACTCCCCACCATCCAAGATCTTCAGATCTCCTTCCGATCCAGATACCCCCATCTCGTCTCTCTCTACCTCAAGCCTCCCACTATCTTCCTCAATCGTTCCCGAGCTTCAAAATCGCTGAGTCGAACACACATGACTTAGCTTCAAAATTGTCATGAAATCGACGATCCTCCTTCCGCAATCTCGAATTCAGTCGATCCACCTCTGATGTCTGTAAACAACGCTCTCTATTTCTGATGCTCTTCCCTAGAGAGAACAACAAGCAAAGCTCGGTGGCACCGCACAGCCTTCGAAATCCGAGACCCGACGCCACCCTCGAACAGGAACCCGACTTCCCCAGCTCCCGTAGGCCAGATTGATGTTCGTGAGCGAGATTGAGGTGGAGGGAAGAGGGAAGAAGCGGAATTCAGGATTCAAGATTGGAGGAGGGAAGAAGCGGGATTGAGGCGGAGGGATTCGATCAGGAGGAGGCAAGAAGCGGCGGCGAGGTGGAGGAGGAGGGAAAAAGGCCAGGAGGTGATGTGTCGGGGAAGAAGAAGATGAGGGGAAAGGGGCTTTGACCCTCCATTTTTGTTTTTTATTTTTTATGTTTAAAAATTAGAAATAAAAATAAATTTGACGTGGAAGGTGATGTGACTGCTGACGTGGTCTTTTCCGTCACAAATTTAATAACGGTACCAGGCTGTTAGCCATTCGTTTACGCACAACACTAGTGATGGCTAATAATTTGTACTTTCATAGTTGTGGCTATAATTTCTCGCTTCTTAATAGTTTTGGCTAATATATTGTATTTACCCTGATTAGATAGACGATAATTTAGTTGAAATTTAGAAAATTCCATTCAAACTTAATTATATATGTGAAAATTTACGTTTTATATTTATTTAATTGATACATAAAAAATTATGATCCCTTCATAAGTTTAACGTAGTTTCTTTGTCATTATGAAAGATTATATAATACATTGTGCTTAATGGATACGTAAAGAATAACTACCTCTTTGCAAGCTTTACCTAATGTATTTTAATGACATAATTTTTATAAAATGGGGTTATTTAAATCATTCGTAATGTGTAATTTAATAATAAAATCAAGTTATATAAGGTGTTAAATTTGATTAAACCTTACGTAATGGATTGTAATAAGTAAATCTTCTGTAATGGGAAATGAAAAAGTTACTGCAAGTGAAAAGAGCTTAGAGTGAAATTAGGTGTAGAAGATGGAAAACAAAAAATTACCTAAGCAACTTCCCATAAGAGAAAAGTACTTTATGGTAACACGAGCTTCGCTTAGTTCGCTATAATAAGAAAATAATTATATTTAAAATTTCATCCCTTCATATTATGATTTATTTGAAATTAATTAATTCATAAAATAATTCGAGTAAGATACTTCTATAAACTGTATGTTGTGTCTTGATTATTATAGAAGGCTTACGTAATATGTTTGTTTAACTGATACATAAAAAATATTTATTACTTCATAAGTTTTACGTATTTAATTTACGTAATTGTTATGTATCAGTGTGAATCTTTCCTAATGTGTGGTCTAATAGCAAAATCAAAATAAGGATAAGTATCACATTTGGTTGACTATTTTGTAAATAACCTATCTTGTGAAACTTTAGCATAATGCAAATTGATGAAACTTTAAATATTGTAGGTAATAATAAAAGCGAATTAAGTTACAAAAGTCTTATATTTGATTAAATTTTTAAGTAAAAAATGATTGACGTTCTTTAACCTTTGTGTAGTGAAAATTGATGAGATAGTGAATAGTTTTAAAAAAATACTACTGAATATATACATAATATGGTTATTTAATGATTGGAAAGGAGGACGAACGAAAGACAAGAAGGAACAATGAAAGATGAGTATTTATGTTGCTTCGCCAGCCAGAGAAAGATGAGCAAAGATTGATATGGTCGATCAGCCGCCAGAGGTTTACATGCGGTGAAGTACACTCGGCCGCAGGGAATTGGAAAATTAGCGTTTATGAACACTACAGTAATCCGGGATTAAAAAAAGCAACCCCGTTTTTATCCTATGCAATAGTAAACAACCTTAAGGTTTAATAATTCTAATAATAATAATTGACCGTTTCCTAGAATGACTCTAAGATCCACAAATCCCCACCATATATGAAAATATGCCACAAGAAAATCTCGTTTTTATATCTGATACTACAGAATCGATTGATAACATATATTTATTAGATGGAATTGACTGGAGAATTGATTATTTTTTATAGAGCTCTTGAATTTCGAAGTGAAACTAAAAAATGAATATCATTTTAGTTTTATAGGATGTCCCGGATGAACACAATTAAATGTCTGTGGAGACTGTAGTTTATAAGCAAGCAATCTGCCTCTCATTAACAGAGCTCTCATACTCAAGATTTTCACCATCTAACAACTTACGCAATACTTCGAATAGGACTACAGAATCGATTGATAACATATATTTATTAGATGGAATTGACTGGAGAATTGATTATTTTTTATAGAGCTCTTGAATTTCGAAGTGAAACTAAAAAATGAATATCATTCTAGTTTTATCGGATGTCCCGGATGAACACAATTAAATGTCTGTGGAGACTGTAGTTTATAAGCAAGCAATCTGCCTCTCATTAACAGAGCTCTCATACTCAAGATTTTCACCATCTAACACCTTAAGCAATACTTCGAATAGGAGTCCTACCTCTTCATTTTTCTAGTTTTAGGTGTTTAACAGTCGTCTTTGCTTTGCTGCCTCTTGTCAGA